GCTGCTGCTGCTGCGCAGAAGGCACTGCGGGAGCTCCTGCCTCCGCAGTAGCCACCAAAGAGGCAGCTCGCGCCCTCTGCTGCTGCTGCTGCTGCTGCTGCTGCTGCTGCTGCTGCCTGGGGGTGTTGAGGTTCTGTGCAGCAGCAAGCGGCTGCGCCAGAGGCAGCCCTTTGCGTCGCCGTAGAAGACACAAAACTCTGCTGCTGCTGCTGCTGCTGCTGCTGCAACTGCTGCTCTTGCTGCTGCCGGAGGAGCAGCAATAGACTCAGTATCCTCCCACGCAGCAATGCAGCTGATAGGTGCTGCTGCTTCTGCTGCTGCTTCTGCTTCTGCTGCTCCAGCTGCTGCTGCTGTTGCAGTGGCTGCTGTTGCTGCTTCTGCTGCTGCTGCTGCTGCTGCCTTCTCGACGCTGCAGTTGATGAGCACGAAGTCCCTGCTGCTGCTGAAGGTCATGAGACTGCTGCTGCTGTAGTTGCTGCTGCTGCTGCGTCCACCTCTGGAGCAGCAGCAAGCAATTTGCTGCTGCTGCTGCTGCTGCACTATATCGCTGCTGCTGTCGAAGGCAGAAAAAAGAACAGCAGCAAAATAAAACAGGCGGCCTGCTGCGTCTCCAATCAGCAGCAGCACCGGCCTTCCCGTCTCGCTGCTTCCTGCTGCTGCTGCTGCTGCTGCTGCAACAAACCGCAAGCAAGTTATGCCCGCAGCAGCAGCAGGAGCAGCAGCAGCAGGTGCTGCTGCTGAAGTAGCTGCAGGTGATGCAGCTACAGCGTCAGTAGCAGCAGCAGCAGCAGCAGGACCTGCTGCTGCTGCACTAAACATCGGGCTCTGTTGGAGGCCATTAACCTGCGGCTGCTGCTGCTGCCGCTGCTGCTGCTGCAGGGGTTCTTGCTGCTGCGCCTTCCGTTGCTGCTCTTGCCCCTCCGGAGCAGCAACAGCTGCTGCAGCTCCCGCAGCAGCAGGACCCGCAGCAGCAGCAGCAGCAGCAGCAGCAGCAGGGTCTAGTGGAAGCAGCAGACGAGCAACGGGTTGTAGCGGATGCATGGGATAGCGGCGCCTGCAGCAGCAGCAGCAGCAGCAGCAGCAGCAGCAGCAGCAGCAGCAGAAGCAATTGCAGCAAGAGAAGCAGCAACACCGTCAGCGGCCAGGACAGCAGCTCCGCAGCGGGAGCAGCAGCGAAGGCGAGAATAACAACTGCATCACCTACAGCAGCAGCAGCAGCAGCAGCAGCAGCAGCAGCAGCAGCAACTTACCTCAGCAGCAGAACTACCCCCTCGTTGCTGCCCACAGCCACGAGGCCCTCCGCCACTGCAACACAAGAAGCTGCAACAGCATCGGCAGGACTTTTGCTGCTGCTGCTGCTTCCGAGGTCTCGCTGCCGTTCATTTTCTGCTGCAGCAGCAGCAGCAGTAGCTGCTGCTGCTGCTGCTGCTGCTGCTGCTGCTGCTTCGCTGCGCGGGCTGGGTGGTCTGCTGCCGCAGCGCTGCAGCAGCGACAGCGGGAGCGCCTCCTCGAACTCGAAGTGGCCAACGCTCCTCAACATGCTGCTGCTGCCGCTGCTGCTGCTGCTGCTGCTGCTGCAGTCAACATGCTGCTGCTGCAATTGCTGCTGCGGTCAACATGCTGCTGCTGCTGCTGCTGCTGCAGGTTAGTAGCGGCTGCTGCCTGTCTTTGTGCAGTTTCTGCGTTTTCTCAGAAATCTGGGCCTTCGAAGGGCTGCTGCTGCTGCTGCTGCTGCTGCTGCTGCGCAAGCGCCCGCTCGGCTGCTGCTGCTACTGCTGCTGCTTCTGGTGTTGCAGCTGCAGCAGATAAACTCAGTGTATGTCTCTAGTTGCTGCTGCAGTGCTGCTGCAGGCTTTGGTGCTGCTGTCGGGCTAGCTGCGGCTCATCCCAGTGTCAAAGGCGGGTCGCTCCTGCTGCTGCTGCTGCTGCTGCTGCTGCTACTGCCGTTTCTGCTGCTCCTGCTGCTGCTGTTGTTGCTTATCCTTTTATGCTTGACAGAACAAGACGGAAGTTGCATATTATACTGAAGTTTCTGGCTGTATTAGGCGAGGGAAGTGCTGCTGCTGCTGTTGCTGCTGCTGCTGTTCTCGTGCTGTCAGCAGCTGATCGGCATTGCTGCTGCTGCTGCTGCTGTAGTTTCTATGTCCGTTTGCAGCAGCTTTGTTTAATAATTATACTAGAAAAGTAAAAAGAAAATGCTTGGCTCTAGCGCAGTAAGAACTGCTGCTGCGGTCGCAGCAGCAGCAGCAGCAGCAGCAACCAGAGCAGCAGCAAGACTGCCGCTGCCGACACTGGGGCCCCCTAAGGGCCCCTCAGGGCCCCTCTAAGGGCCCCTTGAGACATCTTAAGGGGCCCAATCGATTCTCATCTGCTGCTGAGCAGCAGCTTCGAGACCCAATTAATTTTGCTGCTGCAGCAGCAAGTGTAACAACCCTGGCAGCAGCAGTAGCAGCTGCAGCAGCGGCTGCAGCAGCAGCAGCTGCTGCAGCGGAACCCAAAG